CGTATTACAATTTACAATTACCGATATTTGGCGATACCTTTATCATTATTTATAATTATCTATGATGACCAAGGTGTATTGATAAGGTGTCGTCACTCTGGACCCCTATACGTATTACGTATACACTCTTGATTGAAAATATTACCACAGTTCTATAGTCACCAGAGCGCGCTTCCTGTCCTATGAAGGCCTATGTATTCATACTTTTAACCCGTCAGTGGTCGCGATGATTTTTATAACACCGTTAGTCGCGTGTGAGCGCAGCGCTCTTTATACCTGTTTTGTCAATTTTGCATACGATTTTCATTAGAATAAGTTTAAGATCTTAAATTCAAGTTTGTGGTAGTCGGGGAAACAAAAATAATGCATTAACATTTTACTTTTATTTCTTATAATGATTAAAAATAATAATATATTTAGAAATTAAAAATCAAATACATATCATCTTTTCAATACAACTTTTTATAATAACAATTTAAAATTAAAAAATTATAAACATAAATAATACTTTGTTATACCTTATACACAATTTTAAAAATAGTAATGATAAATGTAGTAAATTTCGTAAGAATTATTAATGATTGTAACATTATGTATATGAAAAAAAAAAAAATGGAAACAATTATTAAAAAAATAAGCATTTATTTCCTAACGTTATTCACTATCAGACTCGATTTCATTATTCTTACCACAAGACGTGCATGTTGCTACTGTATGTTCCTTACAAATAGGAACATTACACATTTCACAACGTACCTGAAAATCATTGTAAATATAATTTAGAATAATACAAAAATGTTTACATTTAGTAAATAATAAAACAAATTACCATAGTTTTACGATTTTTTCTTTTCGGACAAAATCTACATTTTGGGCGATCACTAGATTCAGGAGTCGGTGCTACCGTGGGTTTTTCTACCTGATCAGTCAGTTTCATAATAGTCTGTCTAAGAGGAATTGATAATTTTTTATTTTGTAAACGTTGAATCATAAAATGTTTAGTCAATTCTTTTCCTAAGGTTTTCAAGTACAACCGTCGGCTTATAGTTTGGTTGGTATTGTCTCGGAAAATGATTTGACTATTGATTCCCGCGATGTTCATAAGGGCAAAAAATATCGTAAGTGGCCATCTGCAACTGATCCTTGCTACAGAGTACTCCCCCTTGAGCTCGTCAACCACATCAACGCCACCTTTTGTGGAATTATAGTATGTAATTACTTCTGGCTTCTTCTGGTCTCCGGATTCAGAATCTATAATTCCATGTTCATGCATAGTGGATATCATAAGGACATTTTTGTTTTTTTTTGGGACGTATGAAGTAAGTAATATATCTTTTCCGTAGCCAAAAATGGTTGAGTTTACAGTCCTTTTTTTTGTATCCAAAAAACAAGTTGGTATTTCTCTTTTGTTTTTTCGTAGAGTCCCAACTACAGTAAGCTTATGAGTTTTCAACAACTTAGTCGCCAGTGGTATGGAGTTATACCAATTATCCATTGTGACGTTTCGTCCCGTTTTCGATATCGGTGAAATCAGCCTTTTCACAACACTTGATGGGCTGTTTTCAAACTTGAAAGGGCCATCTGGTTGCGTCCCGACATATACCTCCATATTACAAGTGTAAAACGTTTTTGAGTCGACTAGCGCTTGGATTTTTATCCCATACTTGTTCGGTTTATTGGGGATATATTGTCTGAAATTGCATCTCCCTCTAAATCCTTCTAGCATTTCGTCTATCGTAGCATTTTCACCTATAGTATAGCAGTMCTGACACCGTTTTACAAAATCATCGAATACGGATCGAATTGCAGCTAGCTTGTCTATCGATAACCTTTCTTTTCTCGTGCGAAAATCATCAAACCTAAGCGCACGTAATAACAAGTAAAAACGTTTTTCAGGCATAACTGCACGAAAGTATTCTGGAGCAAAGCCATCATTTGACCATAAGTCTTTTAGATTCAAATGATTACTTCGAAGATAACCTGCTAGGTATAAGAGACCAAAGAGCGCTTTTATTTCAATAATATTAGTGTCGAGTACGTCTTTTTCTCTCTGATAATTGATTCTGATTTTAGCTAAATAGATATTTGTACAATTTACAATTTCTTCTATAACCGTATCGGGAAAAAACAAACTCCAACAATCAACTATAGACTTGGCGTCTTTCGCATACCGCTTTACCCCAGGCAAATGTAAAATTATATTATGTGAGCGAGTACGTACATTCAAAGGTGGSCCGTCAATATTCCACTTCGTAATATTATCCTTACCTAAATAATAGGTGGGTTGAGAAGTTTTATCCGACAAAGGGCTTCTAGAACGAGATCTACGAGATGTACTTGGTCTATTACGCGTATTCAATGTTTTATTTGCGATAAATTCTGTATCAGAAAAATCAGACTCACTTTCACATTGTTCTTGTATATCAGGCTGAACAAAATCAGGATCATCGGCCGAATCATCTGTATCATATAAACAATCTAAATTTTCTGATTCTTCAACCCATGAAGTGATATTTTGTGTCACTTTATCCATTTTTATATAAAAATACGAAACAATAAAATTACGAAACAAACCTCGATATAACAAAATAAAATAAATACGGCATTAGTCGCGTGTGAGCGCTGCGCTCAGTTATTCGTGACTAATGACTTTGAACTTCAACACAAAGCAGAAATATTGATAAATTCATAACATCTAATTTTTTCTATATTTGTACATATGTCGATAAGAGGTATTTATAGTTTCACACGAAATACGCCAGAAACAAGCCAGTGATATGACCAAACTCGTTTAAATGTGAGCGTGGCGCTCACATCGCGACCACTGACGGGTTAAATGCAAAATGTCTTAAAAATTACGAATTATAATGCTATTTTTTTTTAAATTGAAGTTTAGTATTTACTAAAACAATGAATCATAATAAGTTTTTTTTTATTGAGTTGGCATAATAAATTGGAGCCTGTAATTATAGTATTATACATTAAATTTGCATTTTAATCATTTGCAATATTTTTTATCGAGTAGACATCAGTAGTAAGTGGGGCACTTGAGGACACTTTTGCTAAAATTATCAGTAAAAGATCACAAGATTGATTTTCATCAGAAAATCATCACAAAATGAAAT